TAATAAATTATTATTAAATAAAATTTATATACAAGGTTTAAATAGTAAAAATTATTAAAAAATTATTAAAGAAATTAGTTCAGAAGCAAACAAGTAGTAAAACAGAGCAAGTACTTGCAAGTATACCATATTTTACCAAGTATTTGAAAGTGCAAGTACTCGTTTATAATAAACCAAATACAAGTCCAAAATTTTATTAATCGAACAAGCCAAGCCAAGTATCAAGTACATCCAAAAGGGCAAGTACTTGGCTTGTGCCCACCCCTAATAATGGCGTCACAATAAATGACGCCAGCGAACGGATATTCTCACCGTCAAATCACACGAAACAGTAATTTCCCGATTTATCATCATCCTCTTTACCGAGAGAGAGAGAGTCAACCAAAAAGAAAAAAAAACAGTCACTCTTCTCCAAACAATTTTCAAAGTTTTGTTTTTAGTTTTTCCTCGAAAACGGCGTAGTATTTATAGCTTAATCACTCGTTCGAAACCTCCTTCTTCAGTACGTTTCCTCTCTCTCCGCTATTTTTCCACCACAACGAAGCTTCCTCTCTCTATCGTCTCCGCTCGTCTGTCACTTTCGATTTCACCATCTGTGGAAACCTGCTAGTTTTTCGTCGTTAACTTCTTTTTTATTTTCTGAACAAAAGTTTTTCGTCGTTTTCTATTTTTTTCTTTTTACTGGTAAGTAACGAATAGTTGATGATTTACTTTAATGTAAAAGCAGTGCTAAAACTGTTATGTACTTTGCTTTTTACTATTTTGTCTTTTGTATATTAATTAGTTTCTCATCTCTTCCTCTCTTTTGCTTTTGATCATATTGTTTAGATGACGATGGATGATATGGAGATTGAGAGCGCCGCTGCTTCTTCTCCTCTACCTTTCGCTAGAAGGTAGTGATGATCTTTTTAATTTTCTTTCTACTTTCCTTATAAGCTGAGTTGTTACGAGTGTTAGATGTTTATTTCTTTAAATTGATTGATTTTTGAAATGTAGTTATCAAGTGGAGGCGCTTGAGAAAGCTATGAAGCAGAACACGATTGTTTACTTGGAGACTGGCTCTGGCAAGACTCTTATTGCTATTATGCTTCTTCGTAGCTACGCTTACCTTTTCCGCAAACCTTCTCCTTGTTTCAGCGTCTTCTTGGTTCCTCAAGTTGTTCTCGTCACTCAAGTATGATGCGTTCTTTCTTCCTATCTTTTGTTTTTTAAGTTTATTTACAATGTGACTTGTCCTTGTTTTTGTGAATCTCTCTGTGTTTGAGAGTTTTATGTTTATTCAACGAAGTTTAGAGACATTAGTATTACTTTTTTTAAATCCGTAATGGTGTGTATAGATTAATGTTCATACTTTGTTCTTGTTGTGTTTCTTTGCAGCAAGCTGAAGCGCTGAAGAGGCATACGGATCTAAAAGTGGGCATGTATTGGGGAGCCATGGGGGTTGACTTTTGGGATGCTTCAACATGGAAACAAGAAGTCGATAAATATGAGGTTTCCCTTCCCTTATTCTTTTTACTGATTACATATATACTCAAGTTATTGGAGTGTTTGGTATACTATTTATTAGACTACTCGCTATTTCATGTCTCTGCGGTTTAACACTCTTGCTAAGCTGTGCTCTGTAACTATACTGACTGACTCTGACATATAAGCTTGTGTGTTCTGCTAAATGACACTACTACTGTTTCATGTCCGCCATGGAGACATACCTATATATTGTTTAGAGATTTTGGTTGTTCACAAGATTTGTTTTTTCTTTACTCTCACAACTGCAGGTTCTTGTGATGACGCCTGCCATTTTGCTCCGTGCATTAAGACACAGTTTTCTGACGTTCAACATGATCAAGGTTCTAGTATTTGATGAGTGTCATCATGCTGGGGGTAATCACGCCTATGCTTGTATCATGAAGGTGAGCATTGAAAAGATACTCCTAGTAGTTTAACTCAAACCTGAATGAAATCTCTTTCAAACATAGAAAACTTTTATTATTTAACACTTCATTTTATAAGCCATCTTTTGCACCTTTTGACGGCAGGAGTTCTATCACAAGGAGTTAAACTCTGCAACTTCAGTCGTACCACGGATATTTGGGATGACTGCATCCCCTGTGAAAACAAAGGGTATAAGATTTAACGCATTTCTCAGTCTATCCTGTTTGTGATTGTTTTTCCACGTTAGGTTTTATTACGTCATTCTTCTCTCACCTCAGGTGAAAACTTGGATCGCTACTGGAAAAGGATTCATGAACTCGAAACTCTAATGAATTCAAAGGTTTCTCTTTTCTCATTTTGAGTTTTTTGATACTCTCTTTCATTTTTGTAGTGTGAATTTTTCTAGTTCGAGATAATGATAGTCCCTAAATTTTCTGAATTTATTAAGGTCTATACATGTGAAAATGAATCTGTGCTTGCTCGGTATGTCCCCTTCTCTACTCCGAGTTTCAAGTACTACCACCCTATGGGAATACCAAGCTCTAAACGCGCAGGCTTGGTAGCGAAACTTGAAAAGCTAGCCACAGAGGTATATATTCGAAGGCTTGAAGTTCAACGAGATTGGTTTATATCTTCTTATATCTTCACATAAATGATGACACTGTTATAATTACAAATCAGCATCTCCTAGCCCTTGCAACATTGGACCTCAAATCCTCCACTATTAATTCTATAAAGAAGAGACTGTCAAAGATATGCTCATCTATAATTTATTGTTTGGATGAACTTGGAATTTGGATGGCGCTTAAGGTATTTTTTTGGTCTACGTACTGTTTCAAGGTTTCAGATCACAAAGGAAAATGAGATATTTGTTTTTTCCCCACAACAGGCTGCTCAGTCACTCTCAGCCAGTCAGAACGACTTTGTCTTGTGGGGCCAACTAGAGGAGTTTAGCGAAACCTCTATAAAGAAGTTCTGTAGTGATGCTTCACGGGCCATTTTAGCTTACATTCCTGATGGTACATTTATGCTAGACAATTTTTATATAACTGCAAGTTCATTCATTCTTTTCCTTACCTCTGATCTTTTTTGGTTCTTCCTGCACATATAGGTCCTAACTGGAGTGTTGCTAACATAAAAGGAAATGTGGAGGCAGGTTTGATAACATCAAAAATAGTCTGCCTTGTTGAATCTCTTCTTGGTTATAGGTATGGATTGCATACCCATTATCTTTTTTGCTTATTAGTTATTACATACGATTTTCAAATATGTTCCTATGTATTTCATTGATACAGCTCCTTGGAGAAAATAAGGTGCATCATATTTGTGGAAAGGGTGATAGCAGCTATTGTTTTGGAGTCCTTTCTGGCTGAAATTCTTCCAACCTATAATATCTGGAAAACTAAGTACGTTGCAGGAAATAACTCCGGCCTGCAAAGTCAATCCCGGAAGAAGCAGAATGAAATCGTGGAGGACTTCCGAAAAGGCTTGGTATGTTCAAATTCTGTGAACTGTTGGAGTGGTCTGCTTTTTACTCTTTTTTTTTTTAGTAATCTCTTCTTGTTCGTAGGTAAACATCATCGTTGCAACATCTATTTTAGAGGAAGGTCTAGATGTTCAAAGTTGCAATCTGGTCGTCGGATTTGACCCCGCATCCAACATTTGCAGTTTCATACAATCCCAGGGGCGTGCGAGAATGCCTAACTCAGATTATCTGATGATGGTGAAAAGGTCTGTTGATATCTTGTTACGCCTCCAAAGATCTTATGATTTGATTGTGTAAAATTAGCTCCATGCTTAACAAAAGTTAATTTATTTTCTCTTTATGTTGCCACTTGTAGCGGAGATCTGTTCACACAATCTCGGTTAAAGAAATATATCACTGGTGGGAAAAGAATGCGTGAAGATTCTTTGAGTCATTCTCTTGTTCCCTGTCAACCTCTTCCAGATGATTCGTCCGGGGATTTCTTCCGTGTCAACAGCACCGGAGCAATTGTAACTCTTAGCTCAAGCGTCAGCTTAATATATTTTTACTGCTCAAGGCTTCCTTCAGATGAGTTAGTCTAATACTTCAGCAGCTTTATCAGTTAGTTTATTGTTTATTCGAATTTTTCTTTATATTCTCTCTGATTTTTGTTTTTGTTTGATTGCTGGAAAAGATACTTCAAACCAACTCCTAGATTTGATATAGACAAGGATCAGGGGATTTGCACACTTTACCTTCCTAAGAGCTGTCAAGTAAAAGAAGTTAGAGTTCAAGCAAACGGCAACGTGTTAAAACAAGCTGCATGTCTTGAAGCTTGCATTCAACTACACCAAGCTGGTGCCCTGACTGATTATCTTGTCCCTGACATGGTTTTGAAGGAATCTGTCCAACAAAAACTCGGTAATTTTGCTGCTCCTTCATTTAGACTGTTTTCTGTATGATGGATGAACCACTCATCTACGAGGTTTGAGTTCGCAGGGAAAATCCACTATGACACTGAACAGCCAAGTTACTTTCCTCCAGAGCTAGTCTCCCAGTTTTCAGCACTGAGGCGGACAACATACCACTTCTACTCAATAAGGATGAAGACAGAATTTCCAAGAGATCTTCATTTTAAGGATATTTTGCTGTGCACCAGGGTTGAGCTTGAAGATGACATTGGGAACACATGCTTCCGGTTAGAAGATCATCGTGGCACAGTAGCTGTGACATTGAGTTATCTGGGAGCATTTGACCTGACACAAGATGAAGTATTTTTGCTCAGTTATATCTCACTTGTATCTCAGTTAATATCTGATTCGATCAGACTCTGTTTTTCTTGTGTTCAGGTCCTTCTGTGTCGAAGGTTTCAGATAACTCTTTTCAGAGTTCTTTTGGATCATAGTGTGGAAAATTTGATGGCGGCGTTGGAAGGGTTGCATCTCAGAGACGGTGTAGCACTTGATTATCTTTTAGTTCCATCCACTCATGAGCAAAAAGCATCTCTTATTGATTGGGAGGTTATAAGACCCGTGAACTTAACTAGTCTTAAAACTTGGGAAAGGCATGTGGATTGTTTTGCCAAGGATGCTTCTTGCATTCTTCATACAAAAGACGGGTTTTTTTGCACCTGTGCCTTACAAAATGCTTTGGTTTACACACCACATAATGGAAACGTCTACTGCACCAGAGGCATTCTCAGAAATTTAAATGCAAATTCTATATTGACGAAGAGAAAGTCTGGCGATGAGACCTACATGGAATATTATGAGAAACGGTACATATACATAGAAAGTTTAGACAATTCTATCTTTCCGATGCTAAAGTGTGTAATTTTGTTGCAGGCATGAGATTCGATTAAATTTTGTGGATGAACCTCTTTTGAGTGGGAGACACATTTTCACGCTGCATAATTACCTTCACATGACCAGGAAGAAGAAGGAGAAAGGTTCTTAATTAACCGCATTATAAGTCTTCTTGGATTCCTTATTCCGTAGTTTTTTTTTCATGTTGTTGCAGAGAATGACAGGGAGTATGTTGAACTACCTCCTGAACTATGTCATGTCATATTGTCTCCAATATCAGTAGATATGATCTATTCATATAAGTTCTTGCCATCTGTTATGCAACGAATTGAATCTTTGCTTATAGCATTCAACCTTAAGAAGAGCATCCCAAAAGTGAATATTCCAACCATCAAGGTACAACTTTAGACATTTTTGTTTTATTTGATACAGATAATGCATGAAACTTTCTTTTTGATTTTGTTTTTGATTCATTTGATGACTACAGGTGCTGGAAGCTATCACAACGAAGAAGTGCCAGGACCAGTTCCACTTGGAATCACTAGAAACACTTGGCGACTCTTTTCTGAAATATGCAGTGTGTCAGCATCTTTTCCAAGAATATCATACTCATCACGAGGGTCTTCTCAGCTCAATAAAAGATGGAATGATTTCGAATGTCACACTCTGCAAATTGGGATGTCAACAGAAACTTCAGGTAAACATTCTTTAGTAATATTCTTTAACGGATCCATCACCCCTGGTTCTAGAGAAATGTGTATCAAACTCTGTATTCTTTGATTACAGGGATTTATACGAAACGAGTGTTTTGAACCTAAAGGGTGGATGGTTCCTGGTCAATCATCTGCAGCTTATGCTCTTGTTAATGATAATCTATCCGTATCTGGAAACATGTACATTGCTAGGAGGAGGAGTTTGAAACGCAAGAGTGTGGCTGATGTTGTAGAAGCACTAATTGGTGCATATCTTAGCGAGGGAGGTGAACTAGCAGCGTTAACGTTCATGAACTGGGTTGGTATAAAAGTCGATTTCACACCTACGATGATCCAAAGAGAGCCATCAATACAAGCTGAGAAGCTTGTGAATGTAAGCTATATGGAGTCTCTGTTGAACTATAAATTTAACGATAAGTCTCTTCTTGTCGAGGCATTGACTCATGGCTCATACATGATTCCTGAAATTCCAAGATGCTATCAGGTTTTGTCGTTTCTCAATGAATTTAAATCAATATACTTTTGATTCTGTTGGTTTTTTCAGTTAATTTACTAATTTGACTCTGTTGCAGCGGTTGGAGTTCCTCGGCGACTCTGTGTTGGATTATCTCATAACGAAGCACTTGTACAACGAAAATCCTAATCTTTCTCCTGGTCTACTAACAGACATGCGCTCTGCTTCTGTGAACAATGAGTGTTATGCTCAAGTAGCGGTGAAATCAAACCTGCACAAACACGTTCTCCATGCCTCTCATGATCTCCACAAACACATCTCAAGAACAGTCAGTGAGTTTGAACGGTTGTCGTCTACGCAATCCAGTTTTGGATGGGAATCCGAAATAGCTTTCCCAAAGGTAAGCACACATATTTTATTTTCCTATACTCTGAACACAACTCCTTAAATGTCATGGGCCATTTTGTCAGGTTCTTGGAGATGTGATAGAATCTTTAGCTGGTGCGATACATGTTGACTCTGGTTACAACAAGGAAGTAGTGTTTGCGAGTATAAAACCGTTATTGGGATGTATGATAACTCCAGAGACTGTGAAGTTGCATCCTGTGAGAGAGTTGACAGAGTTGTGCCAGAAAGGTCAGTTCGAGTTGAGTAAAGCTAAAGGTTTCGAGAATGGTGAAGCTTACTTCACTGTTGAGGTGAACGCTAAAGAAATGAGTTTTGCTCACACAGCAAAGGCCTCTGATAAGAAAATGGCGAAGAAGTTGGCTTACAAAGAAGTCTTGAATTTGCTTAAGAAGAGTCTGGACTCCTAAGTTTCTCATTCTTGTTGAGTCGAATTGAGATAATTAGTATTTTGTTTAATGCAGCTGCTGATATGTTAGCAAAGCATGTTTTTGTTATCGAGGAAGACTTTATTGCTTCTACCAAACTCTTAAGTTAATGAAAAAAGTTGTGATTAAAAGGATTAGTATTTTGTTTAATTATTGCATTTATGTTTAATTAAGTGATTTGAAGTTCAATGTGTAACCTTCGTAACTAAAGATATGATGTTTAATTGTTCACCAATATATTGTCTAATAGCACCACAATATATGTAATCATTACAAACACAATTGGTCTACTAATCCATCTTGTTACTTAGTTCAAGGAAAGCTCTGTTAATCAAACAAGAACAAGACAAAACTGAAATCAATCTCTCTAAACCCCAAAAAGAACAAGATGCAAATAGAGGAAAAAACAGCCTAAACTGGCTTAAGTATATTCAAGCCAAGAGCCAAAAGTTCTTGTGACGTTTGGTAGTGATCAAGTAACCACCAAGCTTACGGTTCTTTGGTTTAACAGCAATGGTCATACATGAAGCTTTCTCTAAGCAATATTTGAGAACTCCAGCTCGGCCACGCCGTTTCTTCCATCCCCAACGCTTCACTACTCTCCAAACCGGCGGTTTCTTCTCTTCTCCAACCACTAAGAGGGTCACTTGTTGTTCTTTAGCTTCTTCCACTATCTTTTCTCCTCTCTCTTTCTCTTTTCCTTCTAGTCTTCTTATCTCTACCTCTATCTGTTATCATATATACGCATATAATCACATTTTAGCGTTTTGAAACGCTGCAAACGCTTTTTTTTTAGAATATGGACTCACCCCAGGTCGCTTTGTTTGGCAGAGTTTCTTTAGAGTATGGACTAGTTCGTCTGTCTTTACTTCACGTTTCCGGTTCTTCTTTTTGCCTTTAGAACAAGTTAAAGATCTTTATAAAGCCAAATAATACTAATGATCCAAACATTTTTCTCTATAGTACTAAGTGCATTTTTACCGAATAACAAAAAGAAAATCCAAACATTTTGATGATGAATTCAAAAGTGAAAAGAGATGAAACCTTTTCTAAAAGGTTTGGAGAAATATAAGAGGAAAAGATAGTCATGTGATTGTAATGTGTGTTTCAAAGCCCATTCAAGAGCACCAGTTGAAGCAACCACTTTATCCACCACCACCATCACTCTATTTCCTGCCTCAGTTATCTCCTCGTCAGCCGCTTCCACCGTTTCTTCTTGTATCTCTTCTATCTCCACTTCGCGTTTAGCTTTGTTTCCACCGCTTACAACGCTTTTTCCATCATCTTGTTGTTGTTGTTCTTCTTCTTCTTCTACAACCTCCTCTTCAAATTCTTCATACTCGCTACTACTGTCACCATCAACAACGACATTATCTCCTCCAAGAAACTCGATTCTTTGGTCCCTCTCTATGGAACGAGAACGAGGTTTGAAAGTGGATGTTGTAGAACGGATCTTGACATGTTTTAAACTCAACTTTACCGATTTCTTGAGAGATCTAGCCATCTTTTTTTCTACTAATCTTGATTCTAACAACCATACATTGATCTTGAGTTCTTGACTTTTATTATTGTCCGCATAAAAACATACGTGCAAGAGAACAAAACCTCAAAAGAGTTCCTAGGACGTGCGTCCGATTAAAATATATAAGGACATAATACATGAGTTGTAATGAAACTTTTTGTGGGAATAATGCAACACACGACTAAATTACTTCCAAATACAATGTCGTTATTATAATAGAGTTGCATGTATTGTAAACCATCTCTTATGATTGCAACTTATTTCTCCACATCTTCTTCCAGAAATTTCCAACAAACTTCGTATCACGTTCTACACTCTTCAGACAGCGAGCTAAAGCGATACCATCCTTCTTCTTACCGTCCTTACTCACATGTGCAACCATTGCAAAACCGTAGGTAGCTGGCATCAATGTTTTCACATCAGCCAAAACTTTATCTGGCATCGTAATCTTCTCTTCACATCCATAGAATCGATACAAATCTGAGTACCTAAAAATATGTAACGTATTATTAAATATCTTTTCGCATTAAAATTTGTGGCTTAAGCAACGTTGTAACATAAAAAAAAATGAATATTAACATTTTACACAAATATAAATGTGTACCTTGGAGGAGCTTCCTTAATGGCAAGCTCTTGCGTCTTCAAACGAGAAAGATTATCACTAAACATTTCCAACACTTCTCTCGCTTCTGGTAGATTCTCCCACTCTCTAACAGCTTCATTTATCACTATTATCCTCTGAACCGGAGGTGGAGTTGGGAGGTTGTAACGAGTAACTAGAGAAGGCATTATAAGCTGATGCTTATACATAACTTTTGCAAGCCAATACGTTTGTGCAATACCAAAAGGATGTGGGGCAATACGTAGAAGACACTCTTTGTGATTTGTCAACATCATACTCGCAGTATCAGGAGTCTTGAGTGTTTCCAAGTAAGAGTTACAAATGCGACTCATATACGCATCTCCATTAACGTAAGTCTTGTCCTTGCTCAAGTGAAGTAAACCAAAGACCGCCAAGATATTGAGACATAGGTTCTCAATAACCTCTTTGTAGCTCTGTTGAAACGCTAGAACATCGGCTTCATCATACGTTGAAGGCAACTTAGTAGTACAAACAGCTTCTGTCTTAAACGCACTTCCTAGAGAAGGATAGATCCCAATGCCTAATGCATAAGCACGAACCCAAGCTCCAAGAGGATAACCACCAACAGAGTGAAGGTTAAGAGCAGCAATCATACGAAGAGTATATGGCTTCAGCTTGTTATGGAAACGAACATTATCAACGTTATTGCACCATGCAGAATCAGTGACAGTAGCATTCTCGGTAAGGAGATAACCAAAATCTCTAACGTCACAGACTCACAGTTAAACTGTAAAACTTTGCTTAGTTTACAAAACGTTTCATCTGAATCTGCTTCTGTCGTCTCCCATGTAGGTCTCTCGGAGGAAGGTGTGATCATTTCAAGACCGTCGACTACTTCACGGATCTTTCGAGCAGTGGTCGTGTTTATATTCTTCACAAGTGACTTGATCTCGGTGTAGGACATCGACGCAACCTTCCAGAACCTGGAGTAGAGAGTGGGGTGGGTCTGGCAGAGGCTGGGGATCGTTGGACTCCATGACATTCCCAGTGCAGCTGAAATCTTCAGTTTCTGATGGTCTGGTAAGTATTCAACTGAAACACACTGTTCTGGGAGATGAAGATTCCTAGATGTTATCGACAGACTGGAGATTGACTTCATGCAACCATCACTCAGTTCATCGATATTTGGTATTGTATATGACTCAGCCATTTTTGAGGGTATAGAAGTTTAGTGTAAAGGTTTTGAGAATGAGGAGAAAACTATTCGTAGTGGTGTTATTTATAGAAAGAGACATGTAAACAGAGCGTTCTGAGCCGTTAGTAACAAGTAACTAGGGTTTTCCCAAGGCCAAGTTACGTTTAATGATAAGTATTAAATCACTTCAACTTCCAATGAATCATGGAAGCTTTTCATCAAGAGACGAGTGGAATTCATTGCTTTCCCAAGAATGGTTTATCAATATCTATATAACGGCTACTTTGTAGTTAAATGTAGGCGTGGAGACAAGTACTCTCGAACACACTCATTGTTCAAGCAAAAAAAACATTTGCTTTTTCGTTCATATGAAAATGAAAATTAACGCACATTTATCTTTCCCAATAATTCCATTAACTACATGGGATAACGGGGGAAATACTAATTACATACCACAACAAAGAAACATTTTTGACTACTTTGTAGTTAAATGTAGGCGTGATAAAACCACTCTCGAACACGCACATTTTTCAAGAAAAACATTTGCTCCTTTTTGGTTCATATGAAAATGAAAATTAACACATACTCCCTCTGTTTTTAAATAAATGTCATTTTGACTCTTTACACATAAATTAAGAAAATTGTATAATAGACTAATATATCTCTATTTAATGTATGTTTAATTAAATAAAAATAATTTAAGTAAAATACTATTGGTTATTCAAAAGGGTAAAAAATAGATTTAATGTACAAAATTACATTGGGATTGTAGAATGACACTTTTTTGAAACAAAATTAAAAGGCTAAAGTGACACTTATTTAGAAACAGATGGAGTATTTATTTTTCACAATAATCCATTAGTTACATCGAATAACGAAAAAGAAAAAAGAAAGAGATATCACATCCACAACAGAAAAACATTTTGATGAATAGTTCAAAAACAAAACATTTTGATGAATAATTCAAAAATAAAAAATTTTGATGAATAATTCAAAAATAAAACATTTTGATGAATAGTTCAAAAATAAAACATTTTAGAAATGTATAGAGATAATTTTGATGAATAGTTCAAAAATAAAACATTTTAGAAATGTGGATAATTTGCTGACATTGTTGTATTAGGTCACGCGTTCTTTACATTGGCTACTTTATAAACTTGTAAGTTAAAGAATGTAAGGTTTGTATATGTTCATTTGAAATTAAATGTAATTCTTATGCATTACATTTTAAGTAAAGTACTATAATTTTGTATTCTTTACTAATGTGATTCCACAATCCACACACATAAGTAATTAACCCCCAAAGAAAGCATTTACACAAGGGAAACAAAACTAATATCTCGACAATGTCTGTTACATTAATACCACAAAAAATAGGCACTTTCGTAAATAAATAAATAAATAAATAATGGACCGGTTTGGTTGTATTACAACGACACGTTTTCTTCGACAATTGTCTCCAACTCAGGCTTCTTAGATTTTGAAACAGAGATCCTATGCATAAACTCCACCGCCGAGAAATCTTCTATATCCTCAAGATTCATCTTCGTTCCCTTAATCAACCTCACATCTTCCTCTTCCTCATCCTCTGGAGACACTTTCCTATTGTCACAGCTTCTCAAACGTTTCTTCCCCGCCAAAAAGAGCCGAGCCATGTCTGATGCGTTGGCTGCTGAAGCCACACGCGTCATGGGGAACGCCACGTAGACATGGCAGCCTCCAACGTCTAGGTCGTCGTCTGCTGCGAGGGGAATGAGTTTACGACCTATTTTTAAGGACTTTGCGTCAACGAGGAAATGGCTTGGCATCTCCATCATGAGCTCGGCTGCTTTTGTCTGAACGTTGATGTCTCGTACTTCACCGTCCGGGAGAATCACTTTAGCCGCCGGTGATGGTGAATCTGATGAAGTCGTTTTGCTTAGGGCGCACGAAACGTAGTTTCCCATAGTTGAGTCTTGTTTTTATTGATCAAGAAGATGTGAAGATTATGTGTTAGATGAAATATTTGATTTTGAGAAGATCGAAGAAGACAAACGAAGCTTATATATAAAATCTATAGACGAGTACATTATTAAATTAAAAAAATATATATGAGGATTAGTATGAATTATAAGGTGAAGATGGGACAGGTTTGACATTAGATAATTGAATCCGCGTCTTCATTACATAAAACATATTTTATGTTATACTTTAGCCTTATTTTCAGTAATCTAAGCCTATGTTTACTCCGCGTAAAAAGCTAACCAAGTCTTATCAGTTCATTTAAATATTCTGATGGCACACAACTTCAACATAATATTGATTGAAGTATCTTGATATATATATATATATATTTTTTTTTTTTTTATGATAAGTTTATGAAACAAATTAATATCTAGTTTGACCAAAAAAAAAAAAAAATTAATATCTAGTTAATTAGGATGTACCCTAAATACTATATTGTTTGATACTCTCTAAAATTTTAAGGAATTGGAATGTTTGGTATGTTATGTGACTTTATAAAGAGTTTTTTTTTTCTTCTCTTTGACAGGCTATACAAATAGTGATTGAAGCATAATAATTTGAAAGATAATACATGCAATAGTCAAAAGGCTATACAGTTAAAAAGTTAAGGGGAAATACAAATAATGCGCTGAGTCAACGTAGCTACCATATTTTATACATTGCGCGAACTGCGGAAGAGACGGTCACAGTATAATAATCATCAAACATTATATGTCAACATTTTTTTTTAAAAAAGCACAAAATGATTAGAGGCTCAAAGTGTGGAAGGAAGGTCGCAAATCTTATTGTACTGCTTACTTCCAGTTGTTATTCCAATTTTTATAATCATACGATATGATAAGATATTAGTTTTTAATCCCTTATATATTATTTGAGAAGCATTACAACATATTTTGGTAGCCACGTGTCATCATGAGAATGCTTCTCAAATTTACTAGAGAAAAATGTTGGTCCATATAAACATATAATATACTTTTTATTAAACTAAACATAAACTATTATTATTGCTTTTCATTATTTCCTTAAATAAAATTTACGGAATTACCTAATATGGTTATAAGATATATATGACAATTAATGATTCGAATAT